GTTAGTTTACGTTACTTTTACTTACGTATAGTTAGTTAGTATTACTTAGTAGTAAGTTAATTAGTAATACTTACTAGACTAACTTATATTACTACGTATATATATATATATATATATATATATATATATATGCAGGGGTAATACTATATTCAATGTCATATAGCTATGTACATCTGGATCACCAATATTTGAAGGCCCATTACTGATATATCTTTCATAGAGATTACATATGCTTAGATAGCAACCTGAGGATGAATCTAACTTTTATTTTTTTTTGTTCTTTATTGCAGTCTGATGGATACCCAACAATTATCTTCTTTCCAGCTGGCAACAAAAGTTTTGATCCTGTAAGTTGAACCGGATCTCCCTTGGGTTCCCATCACTGTTTATGGTTACTTTTGTAATTATTATTTTGGTAATGTTATTATTATTACAACAATATTTATGGTTACTAGTGTAATTATTATAACAATGGCAACACAATAGCAACAACTACTACTACTGCGACGACCATCACAACCCGTTTCAATTATTTTCTCGTATTATTGTTATTATTATTTTCAATTATTATTATTATTAATTAAAAAAAGAAAAACAATATACCAATAGAATGAGTGTAGCGGAGATGAGGATGTTGAGATGGATGTGTGGCAATACAAGAAGGAATAGAATTTGAAACGAATCTATTTGGAAGAATTTAGGTGTGGCATCAATCGACGATAACATGAGAGCGAGTAGACTTAGGTCTGATTATGTGTGACGCCGATCAAGTACAACACCTGTTAGGAGGTGCGAGTTAGTTCAAATAGAAGGATTCAAAAGGGCATAGGGTAGGCCCAAAAGGATGTTGTTGGAAGTGGTCCGAAAAGATATGGGGATTTATGGCCCCATCAAGGGTATGACCTTTAATAGAGTAGAATGGCGGACCAACATTCGTGTAGCCGACCCCAATTAATTGGAAAAAGGTTATGATGATGATGATTATTATTATTAGTAAACGATTGATAGGAATAGCGGCAATATATGTGGTAGTAATTGCAGGGTGGATGAGACCTTAAAAAAACTAATGGAAAAGGCATCCTATAAAACAAAATTTCCATACATTTAGAAATAAAAGATAAATATACCAGTCTTGTATAGCATATTTTGATCCCTACGAGGGCAGTATTTTTTGTATATTGCAATACCTCTTTTACTTTAATGCAAAGTTAACAGGTTCAAACATAATATATATATATATTTATATATGGAAGATACTACAAAATGCCAATAGACGAAAATGAACAGTGATTTCGTCTACCTTCATTATCGTCCAAAGTTCATCGCACGGTTACGATTGTGCGGTAGTGTAGAATGACCTAAAATTTGGAGCGTGTGCTCATAAAAAATCGATGAATCTACGAAAAATATCAATAAAATATTTTACATGAAAAAAATTACCAAAATACCCCAAAAAAGTTTAAGGGGTATTCTAGTCAATTTTTTTTTTTGAATTTTTTTCTTTATATTTTTATTAGGTGCGTTTCACTAAGATGTACACATGGTTCAAATTTCAAGTCATTTTGGTTTATAAAAAAAAAAAATGAAAAATGAAACACTAGCTGACAATCGTGACCGTGCAATGAATTTTTAACGGTGATGATGGTAGGTGAATCCATTTTCGCGTATAGGCGTTGGGAAGAATTTTCCTATATATATATATATATATATATATATACCAATCTTGAATGTCTGGCACAATAATTCCCGTAGTGGAATACAAATTGTCTGTCACTAATCAAAATAAATAGATAAATTGGCTCCCTCTTCATGCGCAAATGCCATGCAGAGGGGACAGAAATGACTTTAGATCCACAACAAAGAGGGGGAGAGAGGGAGGAAGGAGGGAGAGCTGAAGTTCAGCTGTTGAAGCCTCTACCATCCACATCCCTAACCAGCACAACCCATTTCATTGTTAAAATATTTTACTACCTCTGCCACCGCTATTCTATGTTTTTTTTTCTTGATGGGCTTTTTATCTGGACATAGGCATGGGGTCTGAATCGAATGTTTGCCTATGTCTCTAGCACTTTAGCCTAAAATGCCAATACGGTAAGCAACGTTTGTACGGTCTATTATTTTATAATGGAAAAAATTTATATAAGGTTGCAACCTTGTACTATATAAGTCAGGTGCACCACAAGAATTTTTGTAGAAAGGAATGTTTTGAAGTTGAAAAATCTTCCAATTGGTCATCTTTACCTCGAGATGAATGGGTATAAAGAAAAAAAAACAAATTTCAAGTTCTAAAATTAGAGCATCTTTTAACAAATTATTTGGATCGTCTATTTTCAAGATTTTCAAGTGTTTATAGGTTTGTTCAATCTGCACTGTTTTTGAAATTTTAATTTTTATAATTAGAAACATAGATTTTCAAGTCACGATAAAGTTTCTGACACTGAAACTACACCTACCAACAAAATTTAGAAGTGTGCGTTACATGTATGGAAAAAGGTGGGCACTTCACTAAAATCTCACCCCTTTTATAATAAGCTTTTAATATGTATACGATAAATAGCTTTTAAAATTAGTGCATCTTTTAACAAATTATTTGGATTGTCTATTTTCAAAATTTTAAAGTATTTATAGGTTTGCTCAATCTGCACTGTTTTTTAAATTTTAATTTTTATAATTAGAAACATAGATTTTCAAGTCACGAGAAAGTTTCTGACACTGAAACTACACCTACCAACAAAATTTAGAAGTGTGCGTTACATGTATGGAAAAAGGTGGGCACTTCACTGAAATCTCACCCCTTTTATAATAAGCTTTTAATATGTATACAATAAATAGCTCATATTTATTATGTTTAGGTGTTGGTGCAGCGGTAGTCCACGTGAATTTGACATATTGGGTTCAAAGCCCACTCTTTTCTTTTTAGTATCTTTGTGTCTAGAAGTGTCGACATGGTGTTCAAGTGCCGGGCATACTGTATACTTCAGCAAGAATGAAGTGTTTGATAACTGCCATTATTCAATCTTCTCGTTCTTTTGATCCGGCCTCTTCTAGAGCTGCTGCCACCTTCTCAATCGAAAGAATCTCACTACATATTGCATAAGCAAGTCTACCTTTGCTACAATTGACTCTTTAAATCAATTCATTTCTTTAAAAATAAATCGATGAGGGCTTCACTTTTGACATCGACACTTTGGTTTTGAGCAGATCACTGTGGATACAGAGCGGACTGTGGTTGCGTTCTACAAATTTCTTAAGAAGCATGCTGCCATTCCATTCAAGCTCCAAAGACCAGTCACCCCTACCAAACCAGAAGCGCCTGCACCTGCACCTGTAATTGAGGAGAGTAGCAAAGATTTGAAGGATGAATTGTAATGTTAAAAAGCTTTCAAGGTGTGTAGGTCCATACTTTGTTATTTATTAGATGGTGAGATAGTGTAGGAGAAAGGAGACTTCTTAGTTTATTCGATAGTGAGATGTTAGCGAGAAGAGATATGAAAGCTCCTTGGTTCTCCCTTCTGAAGAGAGGGTGATTTTGAGTCCTTGTTTCCCAAAACCTCAGTTGTCCTGACAAAGAATGCTGGTTTACGAATAAAAGAGCTCCATTTCCATGTTGTTTTTTCATCGGAAGAAATGATGTTGATTTCAGTACTAGTTCGATTTGTGCATGTGTCTATGCATTTCAGTTCATGACCTCTGGGGCCGTTGCTTGTGGTGGTGGGGGAGAGAGAGTGGGTACCTTTCCATAACCTGACAAAATGGAGCACTCAAATTTAATGTAAAAGATAACAATGATTAAAGCACTGATGAATTTCTTTAGTTTTGTTTCGCCATGAAATCCTTGTTACTCTCTCTCTCTCTCTCTCTCTCTCTCTCTAGAGTTGTCTTAAGTCAATTAGAGCTTGGTAGCCTTGGACCGCATATGTCCAAAACAGTTTTTTTTTTTCTTTTTTTATGTTCACATGAAGATAACACTAACTTTAGAATGGTTTGACCCATTGACAGTTGCTGTAGCCAAAGATCTTTAGTTTTAATCTGTATCAGGGATTCAATAATCGCAGTCAGGCTCAGACTTGCCAGTGGTACAGTTCAAATTAGCCCTATCCGACTTGGCAGTTCTTGAGTGGGACAGGACTATATATTTAGCAAGAAAAAAATCAGGAAAATAGGAGACTTGGGCAATTCTAGGGCTTTTTTTCGATGCAGAACCGCCAACCTTCCAATCTAGTCCAAGTTGGGCTATTCATGATTTGGATATGCAATTTTTTAACCACTGATTAGTAAACACATTAAAAATAAATAAAAAAAAATTAACCACTGATCTAAGTTTCCTCTCATGTCTACTCAATAATCACTCTACGCAAGAGATAGAACTCCATAAACACAATCAAATACACTTATTTTTCCTTGTTATGCACTTGTATTCTTATATAGTGGGATCTACCATTATAATTTTGCTCTTCTGCCTTCTGCCTTCTGCCTTGTGCCTGGGGTTGAAACCCAATTTACCCACCAAAGAGGGAGGGAAAAACCAAGCCACCTGTTATCAGTCCTTGGAAATGTTAGTAGTGTCTAGGTTTGAATCCCACTGCTTGAGAGAGCACAATATCACCAATAATCCCCACATGAGCACGCCCCATCCTTGAAATGGTGGAATCGATTAGCATCCCTGACGACAATCACCCTACCAGTGACCATTGACATGAACTTAGTCGCGTTGTGACAATCAGAGCACACACGCAAGTTCTTGATGATCCTAATTGTACTCCCAGGCTCGGTGCTAATGAGCCCAAGCACGATTGCAAGCTTCTCGCTATGTACCCTCACCATACTCTCTTTCTCCTCTTCCTCCACATCATGCAACACCACATCAGTCCCCACTCTGTAACCCACCTCCGCCATCTTCGACTCCAACCTCTCTAAGTCCCTATATATCTCCACTGCCCTTGGGTGCGACCTATCACCCACTCGAAACGTATGGAACTCGCCATCTAGCTCAATCAGTGTACAACCTGGCACTTTCGAAATCCTAATGTTCTTTGTTTCCTCTCTAACCCTAGCTGCATTGGCCCAGAGTCCTTTTGCCGAGTATAGGTTAGCGAGCAGAACTCGGTAGCCAGCTTGCCTCGGCTCGAGCTCAAAGAGCCTCTTGGCCGCAAGCTGGGCTAGCCTTAGGTCTTGGTGCACCATACAAGCACCCAATAGGGCTCCCCACACGCCACTAGTGGGCTCAATGGGCATATTGGTGATGAAATCCATAGCCTCAGTGAGCCTACCAGCTCGACCCAATAGGTCCACCATGCATGCATAGTGCTCGGGCCTGGGGCTCAGTCCATGGTCTTTGACCATTGAGCCAAAGAGCTCCAACCCTTTAGCCACGAGTCCAGCATGGCTGCACCCACATAGGAGCCCTACATAGGTCACCCCGGTTGGGGCTATGCCACATTGGAGCATGGCTTCGTAAAGTTGTAAGGCCTTGTGCCCATGGCCATGAAGCCCGTAGCCCGAGATCATAGCATTCCAAGAGACCACATTTTTCTCAGGCATCGTGTCGAAGAGCTCTCGGGCCCTCTCTATGCTCCCACACTTTGCATACATATCGATCAAAGCGGTGGAAACAAATACATTTGTTTCGTATTTTGCTTTACGAATTAGGTCATGGATCCATTGACCAAGGGTTAGGGCACCAAGTTGTGCACAGGCAGAGAGAACACTGGCTATAGTGACTGGGTTGGGTTCCACTTCCTGGTTTTGCATGTGTTTGAAGAGTGCAATGGCATCTTCGGTTTGGCCACATTGTGCATAACCTGAAACCATGGCATTCCAAGAAGCCAAGCTCTTTTCGGGGATCTCATCGAAAAGCTGTCGAGACGATGAAATGTCATTATTTTTCCCGTAAGCGCTAACTATAGCAGTGGCCACAGCCATGTTAGAGCACATCCCAGCCTTGAAAGCATAGCCATGCACCGATCCAATAGCTCCAAAGGGATCGAAACCAGGGATTAAACCCACAATTGTGCTCGAGTTTGGCTTCAAGCTCATCGAATTCATCTCTCTAAAAAGAATCAAGGCTGTGTCGAAATCCCCATTTAAAGAATAGCCTGAGATCATGGCATTGTAAGAGACAATGTCTGGTTTGTGGATCTCATTAAACACTCGACGAGCATCCATGGCTTCCTGCAACTTCGCATAGAAAGAAACCAGCCCAGTGGCCACATGTAGATGAGAGAGGAGGTGGGTTTTGAAAGCAAAGCAGTGTAAGGCTCGACCGAGCCTCAGCTCTTGAAGCTCAGCCATGGCGGGGAGGATGGCCGTCAATGTAGTGGAATCGGGAGATGGAGAACCAGTTGAAGCCATTTGGCCAAAGAGGGACACGGCCTCTTCATGTCGAGAAGCTCGAACCAAACCAGAGATCATGGTGTTAAAAGCAGGTGCATCTTTTTGAGGCATCAGACCGAACACTTTGAGAGAATAGTCAATTAGGAAAAAGTTCAGATAGAAGTGGGCTAAAGTGGAGGAAACAAAGAGGTTTTGGGCATGGCCAGTGACAGTGGCCATGGCGTGTAGAGCTCGGCCCGGCGACGGCCATGGCAGCTCGGTGCATGCCCTAATGGCAAAGGCAAAGGTGTAGCAGTCGGGGTTTAGACCCGAGACCAATAGAGAATTGTAGAGTGAGAGAGCCGGGGTGGGTTGGTTAAAGAGAGAATTGTAGAGAGAGAGAGTTGGGGTAGTGGAGGAGGTCGCAGGGAGTGTTGGGGTGGTGGCATTAGAGAGAGAAAGTGGGGCGGGGGGAGAATATAGGTTAGATAGAGAGAGGGAGCGGAGGGTGACATTGAAGAGGAAGAGGTCTGGTTCGGCGACTGAGCAGAAGAGGAGTTGGGCATGAGGAAGAGCATCAAGAGTAGAGAGAGAGTCAGCTAGCTTAGTGATGAGAGGGAGGTGAGAGTGGAGGCCGTTGAGGATTATATGGGTATGGAGTTGGAGAAGGTGATTGAGTGTGGAGGAGGCCTGAATTAAGTGGTGAAGGTATTTGGTGTGAGAGGAATAGTGAGTTAGACACACAGTTTTGGAGATCATGGAATAATGTGGTTTTGTTACAGGAGTGGTGAAATTGGGCTTTCATGCCTGGTTTTTGTTCTCTCTCTCTCTCTCTCTCTCTTGTAGTTTGCAGTTCTTTCTCACTCAATACTCTCATACTTCTATTTCCAGGGAGTTGGAACTTTCAAATTCAACTCTCTCCCATCAATCTCGGTAACTGTATGGGGAGTAGGTAGCTGTAATTTCATCTCTCTCCCTACTGGTGCTTTTAGCATGTTTCTGCCGGAGCATACTGTACAACTCCCTGGGGCAAAATAGTATAGTAGGGATTTTTTTTATGGATTTGAAATGTTGGGATTAATCTAAGTATCACTAGATTATTAAAAAAATCAGGTTCTTGAAATCTAAATTAGCATATTGTACAACTCCCTGGGGTAAAATAGATACTTGGGGATATTTTTTTAATTCAAAATTTGGGATTCAACTAAGTATCGCTTAGATTATTAAAAAAAATTGGGTTTTGAACATCTAAATTTAACCCTCCGAATTTTGTAGGGTTCTTGTTCAATCTTGGGATGTTAGTTTTACAGGAACAAAAAAGAGAGTGTGTGAAGTAATGGATAAAAAAAAAAAATGAGTGTGTGTAGTAAGTGGAAGGCTCTAAGTGGAGGCCTTATGGTAACTGTACGCTATAGAAAAAGGAATTATGAGTACCTAAATATCTAGACCTGATTGTTTGAAAATTGAATGACCTATGTGCAAACTTAAGATATGATCTTTTCACTATAATAATAAAATGCATCCGAAAAAACTTAAGGATACCTCCATTAGATGATTAAAAAACTAGAGAAACTAAACTTGGTTGCTCCGGCCATGTGCCACATCGACATAGAACAATTTTGATTATGAGGGATGATTTGGCTCAAGTGGAAGGCTCTAAAAGGATAAAGGGAATTGCTCCAAAATACATAAATTAAGGTAGTAAGAATAAATATTGTGATTTATGACCTAATTGAGGATATGACATTTTATAGAGCGGAATGACAGAACATGACTTGTACAACAGACCTCAATAATCTGGATAAGGCCTAGATGAAGATGATTATTATTACTAGTGAAATTACAAAACGTTGTATTTTATTTTCAGAATTTAAAAATATTTTTCTATATTTTATTTTTACACTCAAGCACACTGTATAATTTATTATATTTTGTTTTTACACGCAATACGTTTGCTCCGTACATCAAATTAAGACCAATTTTGAGGTGTGCATCCTTCTCACCCCAAAATTTGAGAACCTTTTTTTATTTATAGGTGAGTCAGTGAGGAGAGGGCCTCTACCAGGACGTAGTGTTGCATATTGTCAAGTGCTAACCAATTAAGCTCTTTTCCTAAATTTGAGGACCTAAGTACTCCTATTTATTTACCCAAAGAAAAAAGTACTCCCATTTAAGGTGTTGCCTAAGGGAGACAATGTCCAATTTGCTCTTATAGCATATAATCTTTTCAGTTATATTTCTAAATCTCCCTCCCCTTTCTATATACATCTCCATATTTCTCCCACTTTTCTTGTCTCGTCTTATTTTTCCTCGTTTTGCTATCTTTATCTCACTTGCCCCTCTCACCTTCTATTTTCCATTTCCTATTTCTATTCATTTTCTCTCCCACTATACATATGAGAAAGACCCATTTAGAGGTGTCTTTTTTTTCAAGCTTCTCAATAGCAGTCAAATTAATGGTGTTTAATGGTGTTCAATAAGAAAATTTTTTATAAGAGACTCATACCTGAGAAAATTAGATAATAGACTCAATCTTCCACACTAATCACCACTAAAAGGTGTTCTAATATAGTTATAGTTAATTTTTTGGCCAAATTGATTCCAATTATGCTCAAATCTCAAAATACAGACTCAATTATCAACGACCCATTCAAAGCATTTTTTTAGTAGGGAATACAAGGTCTGTAAAGCCCAATGCAAATCCAAAACCGTATTGTTTTTTGCCGATAGTATCAAGGTATGATGAGATTCCAATATTGTCTGCTATTTGTTGGCACGGTAGTAGAAGAGAGACCGTATGAGGTCTAAAGCATGTCATGGGTAATGTCCTGCTTTCCCACCATATCGAACCTATTTGACACTACATGATGCATTGAGCTTGCAAGTTTTTGTTGGTACTATATATAGAAGAGACACAGTGTGTGTGCTTTTTTTTTATTTATCTGGGAAAGAGGGAGAAAGAAAACAAAATAAACAATAATATTTAAGTAACAACTAAAAATATGATAGAATGTACTTCTCCCTTGGTGTGCAGGGGAATTCTATAAAAAAAAAGTTACTTTCATAAGACTTACAATCAATTCTCCTTATTTATTTTTTATTTTCTTTGTCCACTAATTACATATTTTTTTAAAAATATAAACCCCAATTTGCCCCATAAGAAACTATAGCCGCAATGAAATCCTAACCCTTCATCTTTTCAAAATTAAAATTCCAACTCCCTCCCAAATTTCATATAACAACATAAAAAATATACGTTTGGCATTAAAATATTTACAATATTGAGGGATCAAAACAACACTATTGTTTAGGAAATCATATTTTCAGTCTCTTTTAATGTACAATTTGTACTGGAACTATAACATATCAAATGTAATCTTGCTTTATGTTTCGAGCCTTGTTGCAATTTACTCCATCACTGACCAATCAATAAAACCCTTGATGTGGAGCTTACTATGAGACTTAGGGAGCTCTACCTTGATCCTGAGATCTCGTAGACACTACATAGGTCATGGCTCTTGCTTCAAAATTTGCTCAATACGGATCAACCTCAGAGTTGGTTGTGGAGCTCAATCAATCCCTAGGTTGAGATTTAAAGCCGAGTCCAGTAGATTACAAAAGGGAAACTATACAATAAGAAATTACCTTTGGTGGCCATTGGATATGAAATCAGGTGGCTAAGAGTTGTCTCATTGCCTACGTTCAAAGTCTAAAAAGAAAATTTCTTGATTTCGTGCCACACCTCAAACTGACATATTTCACATCTGATGGCTATAAATGATCATGACCTCCTTATACCAAAAGTGAATGGTATTACAATATACAGTTCTATTGGAAAATCCACTTCTTTGTCATCCATATTTTCTAATGCTTTTAACTAATGAAATATCCTCTACTTTAATTTCATCATTTTGAACTCAAAAGCCTCCTAACACTTGATTTATACTTTCTTTAACCTTATTCGATTACCGGTGGCAAACTATACTCGATAGCAGGAGCAGCTTTTTAAAATATTATGATGGATGGATCTTTTGACAAGATTTTAATGAATGGATCTTTTGAGCTTTGATTCCACTTGATGCAAGATAGATGTATAGAGAATTTATAACAAACTAGAAAAATGAAAATAGAAAGTTGAGATAATATACCCCATCTCTTTATCGTAAGGAGAGTCTAGCCACAACAATCTTTTTACAAGATTAATTCTCCTATATAGCCCTAACTTTTCAATTCTAAAAACAGAATAAAATGATGCAATTACCCCTAAAATATCTACAATACAAAATAACCTAAAAACACCTAAAACATCTACAATTTTTAAACCTAAACTAATGCTACAATTTTATAAGAAATAAACCCAACCCCATAGAAAAAGAGGAACCCTAATTTCAATCTCCAAAAATATAATACAAATAGAAGATAAGAACCCTATATTCATCAGGTTTTAACTGTTTGAAATTCGATTAATTAAAATTTTAGGAAATTTGGTGACAAGCCGCGAACAATCATGTATTGTCACCTATTTCATCAACACATAATAATATTTGGATTAATCAGTGGTTTAGGACAATTTGAATTATTCTAATCAGAAAATCCAGAGCAAAACTCCCTAAAACTATTTAAAAAGATAAAAAATACCGTTGATAGTTTTTTACCGTGGTTATGGCAGAAGCAACTGATTTTCACCTCTGTTGTGCCATCTAAACCCACCAACTTTGTACTTGTGATCTTTGGGATTATGAAATATTTCCTCCTTTCAAACAACTCCCCCTGCTCCACTGTGCCTTCATTAGATGAACAATGAATTTCATGTCTACAAAAACTCTATTATTAAAACTGATAAGTTCGAGAAAAAAAAATGAAAATTAAATCAAAGTGATGAACTCTGCTACCTCAAGTATTCTTTGTGGTGATTGAGAAATAAAGATTTCTTAATGATTTTTCTGCGATTCTCTAAAAGACTTCTTTCCTTGTGATCCTCAACTAGTTACCTTTTAGTTTCAACCAAATGGCATTTCAGTTTTAGGTTTTGCAGTAACTAGAAGACTCCAAGAGAGTGCCAGTCCACAACTTTTAACAAGTATTTCACTCGTAACAGTTTTATCTTAGGAGTTTATATTTTGAAGATTGAGACAACATCTTATGCGTCCAATCGATAGGCAGCCAACTTATTGGAATTGAGTAGGGGTGGCAACGGCTCTGGTCCGGCCGGATATGGAGAAAACAATATGGGACCTGAACCCTACCCACCAAAAAAAAATTTAAAATATATATATATATATATATATATATGTATTATTTAAATATTATAATTAAAAATATATAATTAGTAATTATTAATTAAATACTATTAAAATATTATATATTAAATATTATTATATAATAACACTATTTGGGTTAGGTCCAGGTCGACTTTGACCCGAATAGTGGTCAGATGCAATATTTGGACTTAGACCCGACCCGCCAGGTCCAATTCTTGGACCCATACCCGGATCCAGGTCGGATCCGGACATCATGTCCAGGGTGGAGTCCGGGTCCATTGCGACCCCTAGAATTAAGCTTTCCTGTTATGTGTTTATTTTTTTAACAAATGAGATCCTAATGTGACTGAAAACTATGTTTTAGAGGCATTGGTTGAGAGGGGCTGCCCTCTGAATGTTTTCACTCAGATGACAGCATCTCTGTTGATATCAGTTCATTTGCTTGTCCATGGTCGTAAACTCTCTTTTTAATGACTTCATTAAGATTTTAAACCATTAGGCTATGAATAAGCTTCTCAATCTACCATAAGATCAATGAATGTCATGTCATATGATAGGTAACAAGTTTTGAAACTCAAGGGAATTATGACTAAAAGAAGTGAGTTATGGTAGTTAGGCGGCCAACATATTGTTAAAATTATCCATGAATTTTGAAGGATTTACGGTCGCACTGATAGTATGATATTTGATAAAGCAAAATGGCATATCATTATTCATATAACCGATTTTTTTTTTTTGGTTTAACCCATCTCATAACAAAAAACACTCTAGAATTTGTTATTCATTTGAATGAAAATATAAAAAGACAATAACAAAAAAAAAAAAGGATAAAACAAACATAAAATATCAAAGAGTACTCTAATTTCACTGAATTTGCAATTGCTTGACAGTTACATAATAAGTACACTTTATTCAGGATCCGAAACTATGCAACACAAGCTTTAACTAAGGAAAGTTTTAATTGGGCTTCAGAAACCCGAAAACCAATAAATATGAGAGAGAATATTATACTCTAGAGTGAGAATATTATACTCTAGAGTGAGAAAGTCTCGGACAATGTTTTGCTGTTCTTACCGTTAACTTTATTTCATTGTTGAGACCGCTTGAAAGGTACATGACACTCCCATTGATCTTACCGTTCTTTGTTGGTATCATCGGTGTAGAGAGAGAGTGTGTGTCTGCATTGGAGACAAGAGGAAGAATGTGAGAGGTCTAGAGAGAGAGAGAGCGTTGGAGAATGTTTTGCTTTTATTTGAAACTATCTGAAATGCACATTATACATTCATGGTGAGGTTTGTATAAGGTGTCAACCTTATATTATTGAAATAAGGTGCACCTCAAAACTATGCCACTTACAGTTTTGGTGGCCCCTTGCGATGACATGAACAATTATTGTTGGCAATAAAAATTTATAGTTCCAAAACTGGTGACGACCAAATAAATTTATAAATAGTTGAAAATCTCGAAAATAGATAGTCTAGATAATGTGTTAGAAGATGAGCTTTTTTTAATTCTATAAATCTATTTTTTTTTATGGCTATGAATCTCGAGGTCGAGATGATCGATTTGACGTTTTCTATACTAAAAACAACCTTCTCTAGTGGGTTTTTTAAGGTACAATTTTTAGCCGTACTCGTATAATGTAAAGTTGACACCTTATATAAATTGTTTTTCTACATTCATTACGCATAGACCGAAGTCAAAGGAACAAAAGGAAAAGGAAATTTATGAAAAAGAAACACATTTAATTTATCAATTACTTAATATTTTATAGATTTTCAATTGTTCCAATTCATTATCAGGAGTATTTTTATCGGATATTTGAAATTAAATAGAAATATTTAATAGAATTTATAAAATTAACTAGAGAAGTAAATAAAAGTGTTAAATAGTTCATCTCTTGGGTATAATAAATTTACCTAAGTGACATTAAGGTAATACTAAAAAATTGTCTTTAATTTTCATTTTTCATAGCGATAATTTTATTAAAAAAACAATGAACTTAATTTAAAATAAGGCTTTTTCTTTAAAACAATTGTTTTTTTTCGAGAGGTGTGGCTTCTATAAAGTACCAACTTTATACTATCTAAATAAGGTGTATCTCTTTCTGGTAAAAGATACAATTATGATGCCGAAATCCCTTACGATAGCCTAAAAATTTATTTTGGCAGCTACCTATGACTTTTAAAGCTCAAAAAACAGTGTAGATCGAGTAGATCTATAAACACTTAAATTTTTTGAAAATAGATAGTCTAATTAAAGTGTTATAATATGCATAATGTTTAGGACTTGAAATTTTTTCTTTTTATATTTATACATCTCAAAGTCGAGAAATCCAATTTAAGGGTTTTTCAACGCCCAAATAGCTTTTCGGGGAAATTTTGATGTTCCCTTTACTTTTATAATAAAAGGTTGACACATTGTAGACCTTTTTTCTCAATTTAAAACAAGGAATTCATTGAAAACAATGCATTTGATGTAAAAAAAGAGGTTCTAAAAAATCAAAGGCACACCTCCAATATTTGTCATAAAATGCAATTTTGGTGTTGAAAATTATTGGGATGGCTCAATAATCTATTTTTATCTCTAACTATTTAATTATAAAGTTTACAAATAATTAAAATAAAACATATCTATAAAGACACGAAATTTTAAAAAATAGATGGTCTAGATAATATATTGAGATGTACTATTTTTGATACATAAAACCCTTTTTTTATTTTTTATATTTATACATCGCGATGTCAAAAGGATCAATAGCTATTGTCAGATATCAAAACAGCTTTTTTTTTTTTTCTTTCTTTCTTTCTTTTTTTTTTTTTTCTTTTTTTTTACTTTTTTTTTAAAAAAAAAAAAAAAGTACTTTAGAGGTGCACTTTAATTCTACACACCCCATGTAAACTTTTTCCTTTAAAAAATTAAGGAATTTGGGTTAGTTCGAAATCAGGAATTTTCCGATATTTTGGTCCCGCATTTGTCAACCGAAATCGCGGAAATGCGCCGCGGAAAAAGCTGGCATGAAGCTCTGAAGTATGTATATAAATGGCGCCATGCGCGGTGCTTGGTCAAATCCATTCAGCTTTTTCTCTTTGTTTTTCAGTGTTTACCTCTCTCCCACTCTCTCATCTCTCTCTCTCTCTCTCATCTCTCTCTTCTTAGTTGGCGGCATATTCAAAGCCATATTCACTGAGTAGCTGTAAGTTGCGGGCGAAGCGGAAGGCCACTGTCTCGCTTTATCCTTCTCTGGTAACTCTCTTGTCTCTCTGTGCAATTTTCTCTCTGTATTTCTAGTGTTCTCTCTGCATTTCTGTCTTTAAGGTGCTTTTCTCTCTCTCTGCAATTTTCTCTCTGTATTTCTAGTGTTCTCTCCGCATTTCTATCTTAATGTGCTTTTCTCTCTCTCTCTGCAATTTTCTCTCTGTATTTCTAGTGTTCTCTCTGTATTTCTATCTTTAAGGTGCTTTCTCTTTCTAGAGCTCGTTTTTTACTCGGTATTTCTGTCGATAAAGTATTCTTTCTATCTGTATTCTATCGGTAAAGTGTGTCCCAGCATTCCTCTATTGTAGGCTTTTAGACTCTTCCTCGTTCTCTCTCTTCATCTTTATTTTCATGGCTTCAACTCATTGATCGCTGGTTTTTTTGGGAAATTGGATTTTCCTACTATCAAAAGTCCCAGATCTACGCGTCAATGGCCACTTCATAGTTTTATGCTCTGGTTTCCTCTTCTATCTACTTAGATCTGCTTCATTGCGACTTCACAGTCCAGATCCAAGGGTTCATCCGTTTCTCTTTCTATCTGCTATATTCTTGGTACGACATATATGGCATTGAAGTCTAGTGTTCCTGGAAGTACTCGAAGGATTTCGTGCTCTTTCCCCTCTTTAAAATCTGCTACATTTTTTGTTGCTCTTTCCCCTCTTTAAAATCTGCTACATTTTTTTTTGTTGTGTTGAATTGAGAGCTTCGTCCTGTTTTCTCAAGATTCTGCTCATTTTTGCTGAGGTTTATTAAGTGTTTGATGAATTACTTTTGCAAGGATCTGCTTGATTTTTGTTAAATTTTTGAGAAATGAAGAGCTTCATGAATTTTTTATCTACAGATTCTGGTTGATTTTTGCTGAAATTTTGAGAAATTTTGAGAAATTTAGAGCTTTATCCATTTTTTCCTCTTATAGTTTTTATGAAATTAAGGGCTTCATCCATTTTTTTCCTCATAGTCTTTATATATCTACTGGAAGTTTGGAAAACCTAGATTCTCTCTCTTGTTTTTTCGATGTTATCTAAATTCTCTATTAAAATCTTGAGAAAATTCAGTGATTTTACAAAGTATTGTTGGACTTAAGTCTCACAGGACCTATGACGAAAATTGACGAAAATTGTTATCCTTTTTATCTCTCTAAATCCACCATCCACAATTGAAGAAGCTATTTATCTTTTAAAAATTAGCTTGTTGCTCTGCTACATATACTTCTATGTCTCTCCTAAAATCCATAAATGATGAAGCTTGTTCTTCTTCTGCATCTCTTTAAAATTCACCATTGACGAGGCTTTGCTGCAATCGACCGTCTCATTATCTCTGCTAAAGAAGCTTATATTTCTCGATTTCCAGGCCTAATCAAGAGATCAATGGCGAAACTCATCAGAGCTTCCTGTTTCTTTCTCATCTTCATGGCGTTCTCAACCATCTCCCTCTGCGCCGAGCCATTTCAATCACCAGTAGAAGCTCCATCCCCTAATCACTTCCCAAAAGGCCCTTCTCCCGCTTCCCTCCCTTCACCTGCAAGCCCGCCGGAAAATCCTCCGGCCAGGTCCCCTTCTGCGCCATCGCCAGGAATCCAGAATTCTCCGGCGCCTTCGCCCGGAAACCAGAACTCTCCCGCCCCAACGCCGGATCCTAACGCCGCCGACGTTCAGAAAAGGGCCGACCAGGGACAAAACGGAAATAATGCATCTAGCGGGGGGCTAAATCCGGGACAGAAGGCGGGGATAGCTTTTGGCGTTATAATTGGGGCGCAATCGTGGGGTTAGCGGGCTTCGTATACAAGAAGAGGCAGGATAACATCCGACGGTCAAGATACGCTTACTCCGCCAGGCGAGAGCAACTCTGAACCGTCGATTCCCTGCCCCCGGGTCTCTCACTACGATTGGTTTACGATTCTTTCCATTTTGGTACATCTCTACACTTTTCAGTTTTTCACAGCGTAAATAGATTTCTCTCTCTAGACGCATCCATTTATTTTCTCTCTCTAGACTCTATAATAGTTGGATTGGAAGACCCACCAATTTAAATTCTCTCTCTAGATTCAATCAATTTTCATAGTAGTTGGATTGGAAGTCAAAGTTTCTACAGTAAATTCCTTTTGGATTTTTCGTAGTAGCTACATTGTAGTTTTCAGTCTCTCTCTCTATTTCTCTTTCTCACTATGGGTTTTTCTCGGTTGGGGTTAAGTTTTTTCAGCTGGGGTGGAATTCTTGAATGATTCTTTGGTTGGGGATTTTGTTGTTAGGGTTATCAGAGAGGTAGGGGATTGGATGGGAAGCTCTTTCATTCTAGTTTAGAATTTTGGATGGACGGTTGTGATGCAATTTGGTGCTCATTGGAGCCCATCTCATATATTCTATGTGGACTATACAACAATAATAATAATAGACATCATTGATATTGTCATATTTTGTTTTAGTTGGTACCGATATCTCTCTCTCTCTCTCTCTTGCATCCTCTTCCTTGAAGTTAGCTTATATAATAATATTAATAGGAAAAAGTTCATATAAGGGTGAGGCCTAAAAATCATATTAAAGGACACCTAAAAAGTTTAGTTTTTCGATGCTTAAAAATCTTTAAATCGATCATCTCCATCTCAAGATATATGGTATAGTATTTCCCCCGGGGCATTGCAAAATCATATGGTATTATCATTTATATTTATTTTTTACTTAAAAAATATCACAATCACTTTTAGTGGTCAGATTATAACAAGGGTGGTTGTGTTGTTTGTTATCGCACTCAAAATCTCTAAAAACTTCTTTAGAAACTTGAGTTCTACATCTACCAGCCCAAAGTGTTTGCGACTTTTGTATGCTAAAGGTAACAATCCTATTGTATGTGATTCCTTCCTTGTAATAAATTGTAGTTTTTCTAATGCATATTTACCCAAGCACAATTTCAATGGCGGAATGATATTCAGGATTTTATAATGATGCTCAAATGGTGCACACCAATGTTTTAAAAAACGGATCGGTGATTCGGATCGGGTTTCCAAAAAACCGATTCGGATCGGCGAATCGGCGATCCGGATCGGGAATCGGGTGAATCGGTCAGAATAAAGCTTAAAAAAAATTCAAAAAATTTATTAAAATTCATTATAAATATTGTTTTTTAGGAATTCAATAAAAAATGAGGG